GCTACAGTTAGGGCCAGTCCAAACTGGCCATTCTGTTGCAGGCTGGATTGGGCTGCAAAGGGCTGGTTGAGGTTAGGGGAAGGAGATACTGTATGTGCCATTTCCTCCTGTCCGAATGGTATATCGACCTTCATGTCAATTAAGCACTTCCAGTGCATAACAGTCAGGGAAAGTGAAATTCTTTTTTTTTAATCTGCTAGATCATCACTGATGCTATTAATGGCTTTGATTTTTTTTTAAATGTTGGTGCCTCTATGTATTGCACGGATGTAGACAAGTCTCTGGGTCCAACTCCCAAGTCCAACTCCAAATCTTTGATTGCAAGTCCCAAGTACAAATCTGAGTCTTTGATACTAAGCCCCCAAATCCTAAGTCCAAGTCCCTATTAAAAACACGCTTTCTTCCCCAGAAAAAAGGGAGGGGTAAGTGAATTCTGAATTGCAAGTCAAGTCTGAGCCACTAGGGGAAAAGCTGACTTGAGTCTGAGTCAAGTCACCAGTGTAATTTAAGTCCAACTTGACAATGAAGTACTGCAACTTGACTCCCCATCTCTGGTGTATTGCCAATCAAGAAACTGCCTGCAGTCATGGTTTCAATCAGCAATACAAGGAAAAGCAAATAATTTTTTTTTAATTTAATTGAAGTGATTAATCATGTCAGTGATGATCTAGCACAGTGGTTCTCAAACTGGGGTCCCTAGATGTTCTTGAACTGCAGTTCCCAGAAACGTTCACCCATTGTTGTATATTTCAGGATTTCTGGGAGTTGCAATCCAAGAACATCTGGGAATGCAAGTCTGAGAACCACTGATCTAGCAGATGCAATAAAAAATTTTTTTCACTTACCCTGACTTTTTATGGATGATCAGGAAAGTATTCAGTTTCTGATAACCAGTATCCTGAAGCAGTCTACAAGCCAGTTCAGGATACTAGAAATTGACACTGAAAGGAGCTGCAAGGCTCAAGTTTAGTCCATTACAAGCAACCACACTCATTGGGCATGGGATAAACTGCAGCCCCTCAACCCTCATCATTGCAGTTAGAAATGTTTATTTATTTATTAAATTTATACCCTGCCCATCTAGACCGAAGCCTACTTTGGGCGGCTAACAATACTCTGCTGAGATCCATTGTTTCACCTACTGCGGGGAATGACAGAATCCTGTCTCTGCCGCTCCACTCATCCGTGGGACCAGTCACCCTCATTAGTGCATATGCACCAACACTGTTGTCTACAACAGAAGTCAAAGACAAATTCTATGACAATCTGACAGTTACTATCAAAAAAATCCCTGAGACAGCTGCTGTTAATTCTCAGAGACTTTAACGCTAGAGTTGGTGCTGATCACAATTCTTGGCACACTTGTCTAGGCTGTTTTGGCATTGGGAAGATGAACAAAAATGTCCAATGCTTGCTGGGGTTTTACTGTTACTGTGGTTTTTGTGTCTTTAATACAAAGCTTTAACACAGAGCTTCCTGGAGACATCCAAGAGCAAAGCATTGTCATCAGCTGGATTTAATTCTCACTTGATGCTCTAGCCTTCCTAGTATTATGATCACACACAGTTATCAGGGTGCTGATTGTGATACTGATCACTCCCTGATGTGTAGTAGAGTATAACTGCGAACAAAGAGATGGTATCACACAAAAAAGGAAGGAAGACCATGTATTGACATCAGCAAGACTTGTGATCAAAGAAAAGTGAAGGAATTTGCCCAAGCGCTTGAGGAAACCCTTCCAGGCCTGGTTGATGCAAGTACACCTGAATGATGGGAACATTTCAAGAACGCTGTACTGTATACAACACCACCTTGTCCACATTTGGCAAGAAGACCAAAAGACATCAGACTGGTTAAAAGCCTATTCGGAGGAGCTGATGCCAGCCATCGAGGAAAAGAGAAGAACTCTTGCAGCATAAAAACCCTGTCCTAGTGAGTACAATTTACAGGCTCTTCGAGTTGCTCGTAGCAAAATTCAAAAGGTTGCCAAGAGATGTTCTAACGATTATTGGTTTCAGCTCTGCCAATAACGTGGCATCTCTTTTCTCAATGTTGTAGGGAAGCTGTTTGGCCATTTTGTGCTGAAGACACTCCAGGTGCTTACAGACAGAGTCTATCCAGAATCACAGTGTAGATTTTGAGCTAATAGATCCACCACTGACATGGTATTTTCCCCCAGACAGGTGCAGGAAAAATGTAGGGAACAACAACAGCCACTCCTTGTGGCCTTCATAGATCTTACAAAGGCCTTTGACATGGTTAGCCGGGACGACCTTTTAAAAATACTTCCCAAGATTGTATGTCCATCCCGACTACTTAACATCATCAGGTCCTTTCATGAGGAAATGAAGGGCACTGTAGTTTTTGATGGCTCAACACCAGATCTCTTTGACATCCGAAGTGGAGTGAAACAGGGCTGTGTCCTCGCACCAATCCTGTTTGGGATCTTTTTTGCTGTCATGCTGAAGCACACCTTTGGAACTGCAACAGAAAGTGTCCATCTCTGGACTAGATCAGTGGAAAGCTTTTTAATCTCTCTAGATTGACAGCGAAGACCAAAGTCCAGCTGAAATGCATGCGGGACTTCCTCTTTGCCAAAGTTGTTACCCATTCTGCTGAAGAGCTCCAACAATTCATGAATCGTTTTAGTAAGGCCTGCCAAGACCTTGGATTAACAATCAGCCTGAAGAAAACACAAGTCATGGACCAGGGTGTGGACTCACCTCCCTCTATTACCATCTCTATGCAAGAATTGGAGGTTCTTCATGATTTCGTGTGCGTTGGCTCAACGATTTCTAACACTCTCTCCCTAGATGTCGAGCTGGATGAACGCATTGGCAAAGCAGCTACCATGTTCTCTAGGCTCACAAAGAGAAGCTGATGGCATATATTAAGATCCAGGTCTATACAGCCTGTGTTCTGAGCACACTCCTGTACTGCAGTGAGTCCTGGACCCTTTGTGCACAGCAGGAGAGGAAGCTGAACACGTTCTATATGCGTTGTCTCCAACGCATTTTTGGTATCACCTGGCAGGACAAAGTTCCAAACAGAGTAGTCCTAGAACGAGCTGGAATTTTTAACATGTGTACATTACTGCAACAGTGACATCTCCATTGGCTTGGACATGTCATGAGAGTGGCTGATGGCCAGATTCCAAAAGATCTCCTGTATGGAGAATTAATGCAAGGAAAGTGCGACAGAGGGAGACCACAGCTGCAATACAAGGATATCTGCAAATGGGATCTGAAGGCCTTAGAAATCGACCTCAACAGATGGGAAACCCTGATATCTGAGCATTCAGCCTGGAGGCAGGCGGTGCAGCATGGCCTCTCCCAATTTGAAGAGCCCCTTGTTTAGCAGGCTGAGGCAAAGAGGCAGTCCTGAAACCAGCTAAATCAGGGAGCTGGACAGGGTACAGATTGTATTTGTCTTCAGTGTGGAAGGGATTGTCACTCTTGAATTGGTCTTCTCAGCCACAGTAGACGTTCCAAGACCTGTATTCAGAGTATGATACCACAGTCGCTTGAGACTGAAGGATGCCTAAATGTGTGGATGACACAGTTACAAAACCATACCAACAGTGATCCAAATACCAATCTATATATCCATCTGGACAGACCCCTAGTTAGAAGACTCCTGTGACAAGCTGCCAGACAACCTGTAGGCTGTCCCAGAATGAAATTTCAGAACCTTTGCCACAGCTCAGTAGTATTCTTCTTTGAATTCTGTGATGCAGGACTAGCTATCCATATCTATTCCCTTGTTTAGTCTGATTAAACTCCTATTGGTACAAATTAAAATGTGGATACCAAGGACCAGCATTTGCATGCTTAGTTTATGATTGAGAAGAAGAGAATCAGGTCAGGTCAGGTCAGAATGGGAGGAGAAGAGTGTTTTTGCATGAATATCAACATTCATTTTTGCGTTTCACTCATTTGTGTGAAAACTAGATGAGAAGACAGTGTACAGCATTGGTCTGGTGCTCATTAGTGTTTATTAACCCTCATGCTGTGAGACAGTACTTTAAAATAGCTGTACCTCAAAATAAAAGCCATCTCGTAACCTACCTGACAAAATATAGTCCATGACAGTGAAATAACACTGCACTCACTGTAAAGTCAGAATTTCTGAGTGTATATTATGGATTTATTTTAGTGTAAAAGACTCAAGATTGGAAAAGACATTAGAAGAGGATGTGTCCTGAATGCTAATCTGAATGTTTAATTTTGAAGATTTCTGTCAGGAAGAAAACAACATTGCCTTTGAATTACCTGAGCATTATGGATAGAGGGCGCGTATGCCTCTGTGCAAAGTTCTCTACAGAAGAGGAAGGTAGAGTAGTTTTTAGCATTTTGCTTCCACAGACAACCGTGGTGGTTCACTTATATTTGTCTCCTCTTGGATGTAGCTCGTGCACTATAAATAATTCAGCTTGACAAGATTTTCCTTTCAGTTTGCCTTACTGCTAACCTCTTTTCTCCTTCCCCCCCACACCCTTTCCACACTTCCGACCGCCTTCCCCACACTCCTGTCCACCTCCCGTGCACGCGCGCTTCCTTACAACGCTGACATCACTGTAGTAGGATTTAAATAGCTATACATGCCATGTTTCTCCTGGAAACAAACCACGCGATTGGTCAAGCTGGTCGCCGGCCTCTACCTACCAGCAGGGATAAGCCCGATCTTTCCAGCCAATAGCGGCTCGGCTTGTCCTGTTGCTGGAAGCCAATGAAACGCCTGTCACTAAGGGAGGGAAATACATAGAGGCATAAAAGGTCTGTCATGTGTATTATAATATTTTCATGCCCGTGTCACTGATTTTGGTTTTCGTTCTGATCTTAATATCTTTTTAAAACGTAGATTAAAGGCTTAATCGAGTGATTCTTTGCATGGGTTCTTATTCTGTATCCAGAAAATGGAATTCACGAAGCATGCGATCCGTAGTACTATCAGGTTGTAAAGGGGGTGGGTAAATGCGGGCGGGGGGGGGGGGAGAGAAGAAGGGAAGGGGGAGGAGATTTTCTGGCGTGTGTTGATTTAACTTCAGGTTTTTTTCCTGCCTTGGTTTGGGGTGTTTGTTTTGTTAAAGATCCTCGGAGCAGGGAAACATGGCATAAATATTGTGCTGAAGGTAGGTCTGTGCTCTGTGTTTTTTTCTCTCCCTCTTTCTTCCATTTTCATTTTCTTGGGAGGGTTTAAACAAAACAACCCCCCCCCCCCCCCAGTGCTGGCTTGTGGGGTCTAAAGCCAGTCTCCTGGGATTTTAATAGTCTGGCACAGGGAATGTTATGTAAAGAAGAAGAAAAAAACAAGGTAAACAAATCGTTTACGTGGTTACCTGCTTGTGTGTGTGTGTGTGTCTTGTCTGTGTTTTTTTTTGGGGGGGGGGGAATAAAGTGAAGGGGTGGAGGAAGGGAGAGTGCATGGAGAAGAGGATTAGGAGTATTGTATATCCGATCAAACCTTTGGATTTATTACGAAATAGGGGTCGCGGGTCCTGGATTATTCAAAAATGTGAAAGAGAACAAGCTGCTCCTTTGCTTGAAAGTCTCACTGACAGATTTTTTTTTTAAACATAAGGGGAGTTTAACCGCGGAGGGGGAAGAGAGTGTGGAGCCATTACTTCATCCAGAATCACAACAAATGCTTTTTTTTGTTTTTACTCCGCGTTGTGTTCAGTCCATCTTGCACTGAACCCAAAACCCATCTATAAGGCAGCGGTTGTAGCTCAAGTCGGTGGTACAATAAGTGATAGCCCCTTTCACAGGTGCTTCATCCAGACCCAGCACAGGGTGAGTGTCATGCAGGAAGCATAGATAAATCAGAAAAAAACAGAAAAAAATTGGGAGGTCTGAGGGAAAGGATTTAGAACCTAGAGGAGAACAGGACATAAATATAAAGCAGACGTGTTAAGCAGTCTAGGTCTGAGAATGAGGAAAACCTAATTTCAGATGGAAGATTCTGTTTACCTCTATCGGGGACTTGAGCATCTTCTTATCTCTGGAACATTTCTCAAAACAAAATAGATTATATACAGTATTCCATATCTGCAGCAGTGTTTAATATTTTAAGAGATACAGTATAGAGGTATCTGTTGACAATACCGTAAATGTAAGATTTCCAGTTTCAAAATTAAGTGATTGTGTCAGGGTGGTGGTGCTTTATCGTGCATGGTTTTATGGTGGTGTATTCTGAAGCTATGGTTGTGCATAAACTTGTGTGGCATGAATGCTGCTAATGAGAGGCAGCCTTCCAACTATAAGGGATGCCCCGTGAAAGTGGGAGGTAGGTGGCAACAGCGACCATTTGCGACTGGACAATCTAACTTGTTACATTCGCTGACCAAAGCATGTTTCCAGATGCAACAGAAAAAAATGTTTAGTATGTTTCATAGAACACTTTTCATAGAGTGATTGTTTTCCAATTATGTTTTTAATGGAATTTTTTCTGAATTAATTATTAATACAAAGTGTTTCCCACCACCAAATATGCTCCCCCCCCCCGGAATTATGATAAGGGAACAGGTAGTTGGAATTCTTCTCAGCTTCAACTCAGGACAATGTTTCTCACATTGTAAAACTGATTGGTGTGAAGCTGAACAACGTGTGGGACTTCATAGAACCCCCAAGTCTGATAGAGCAGCAAGTTTGTTATGAAATCTGGATAGAAGTAACATGTTGCTTTTTAAGACTGTCAGTTAGTTAAAATGGTGGTCTTCTAATTTTTCCCTTGACTTCAGAAAGGGCTGGGTCAAGGTCACCCTAAGAGCATAGCAACAGCTCACCCTAAACCCCACTCTGGCTAATGCTTTCCTTCCTTTATTAAGAAATACTGTACTTTAAATACAACTATAATCAATTAATTAAATTAAATTAATGATGTTGATTCAGGCATTCTTATGTCCTTACAAGTACAAGAAGTGTTTAGGGAATAATACTGTATTGCATGCTTTACGGCTGAGGTTGCATGTGGATGTACAACAGAAATGCTCATATTCTCAAAAAGGCGGCCCGGAAGAGTTCCAATAGTGAAGGAAGTGTTTTGTTTGAAGGTACTGAAAAGTAAACATGCATGGAGTCAAGCTGACAAGGAATTTCTGTCGAAGGATGTTATTCCATTTCAATATTGAAAGTATTGTAGCTATCCAGTGTTTTTAATGGTAGCTAGCCCATTTGGGTGATTGTTCGTAGGCCAAGGTATTTACAGAATGCTTATTTGACAGTTTTTAGATAAACCACGATATCTCCCATCTTTCATTTCTGCCATTACCATGTGTTTTTCTTCCCATTTTGGAGGAGGAAGTAGCAGGACAACAACACAGGCTGAACTGCAAACTGTTCACAGCCGCTTCTGGTACTTATTTGGTTTAAACTAAAGGGTCCAGATCAGCAGTAATATTATAACTGGAAATGAGATATAATGAAAACAAGTGAAATGGATAAATCATAGCAACCATTAAAAACAATTAAAAGCCTGCCAGCTTCACCTACACCATCAAAGGCCAGCATAGATAATAATAAAAAATATTTAAATGTTTCCTAACGATTTTATCTGATTAGACAGGAAATTAGTATAATAAATTAAATCTAATTTGTTAGGGGAGGGAGAGAATTGGCATAGGTTCAGAGACAACCCTCTGTGTGCTATTGATAAGTCTGAGGGGTGTCAGTGGTACCTTCAGGAGGGGACGATCTAATATTTAGGAGAGGTGTAAAGCTGGTAAAATGGGGAATATATGGGAAATGATAGACCGTCCAGGAGGTGAGAAACTAGCATGGAATGCACCGGGCAGATGCATTAAGAGTATATCGTAGCAACTCTGCCTTTAGTGTTGATTTCTTGCCTGGAATAAGTTAGTACATGTTACATAAGGTGAAGCACAACAAACTGCAGTAATTTTGGCCTGAAGTACTGGTGTGGATGTGATTGATATTTGGGAACTGATATTTGTTTTAAAATATTATATATAGTAGCAGGACGCTAGCAAATGTGGTCCAGATGAAGCAGGTGGTAATAAACCCTTATACATGACATTACAGCCGAACAAGATTTTGAAAATAGTCAAATTTAAGAAAAATCCAGAGAAACTTCTTAATGAACACATTCTATTTTCAAAATTTGATCTACATTATTTTCATTTGTGGAAAAGTTATACTATTTGGCTAGGCTACCTTTCTTTCAAGTGACGCTCAATTTTCAGGAATGACATACAAATGTACAAATGAAGTTTCAAATCAGAAGTCTGTTTTTCCTTGAGAGGTAAAATCTGGATGTCATTCATCTGCTTCCACTATCCGATAAATAAGAATATAACGCATCTATAAAAGCAATGTGGAAAAACCCTACTGAACAACGTTGGTTTTCTGTCGTCACTTAGTGACACCCAAGAAATGTAAGAGCAGGATGGTACCTTTATTGAACCCCTAAAAAAAAAAAAATCAAATCACAAGCTTTCGCGGGAGAAAATCCCACTTCCAAGAGATGTCTTGGTAGTGCCAAAGCAATGCTCAATTTTACCACTAGGGGCCCTGTTTGCATTGTATATTAATATGGGAGTTGTGGGGGAATGTTGGTGCAATGTTGATCAAAATTGTAGAGACACTGTCCTTTTTTTAAAAAGCCATATTCCTGTAGCAGAGGGATTTCATTACTAACCTACTCATGGTTATTCTGATGCAAGTTCTGTTCAAAGAGATGTATTTATGAAACATTAATTCTATCTTTCTAGACCCTTTGATAAAATTTCTTGCCATTTTGAACCTCGGCAAATATGGGATGTTCATTATAAACGTTAAATGAAGCAAAATCCCCAAACACTGTTAAAAGGAGGGCATGCTTTCTTTAAATCTTTTTTGTAAATATAATTGCTCATTCTAGAGACTATTTTGTCTCCTCTATAGAAGACGGGAAAAATATATATTTAGTTAAAATAAATCCAAGAAAGTGGACATGGTAGAAAGAAGGATGTTGGCAATATTCATGATATCCACAGAAAAAGGCCTTATTCACATATATCTTTATAACACTATGATTGCTTTAATTTAATGGAGTAGATATTTCAGATTTACTTTGTTCCGTATTATTTCTCTGCTCCAAAATACCCAAAACATGTTAAAAATATAATAAAATACTAAAAACGTTGCAATGATGAACCAACAAGTGTCAGGAAAATATGGAAGAGCAATATCCAAAAGATGTGAAGAGTTGGCTGTACTAATTAGAATGGCCAAGAAGATGACAAACTAATGAAGGAAAATGCTCTTGCTGCATGGGCGGAAAACTGTTGTGTGGCTAGAGAGATAATTCTAGTTCTGAAGTGCCACCACAGATAAGGTCCTTTGAAAGACACTTTTTTTTTGAGAACAACTTAGACCTGAGCCTCCCACCAGCCCTAGGTGGCATAGCCAGCTGCGAGGAATAGCAGTTGCAATTGAAAATGTCTGAGGAGGACAATGGCTGCCTATTTGATATTAAACAACTTGTGAATTTCATCTAGAAAGATAGATACATCTTCCGTTTCAATCCATATGGAAGACAGACCGGTGCCGAAGCAGAGGAATGTAATCTGCGTGCAAAATTTCCTACAAGGAAGGAATCATAGAATTGTAAATCTGGAAGGGGTCCTCCCAGGTCATTGAGTCCAACTCCCTTCCAAGGTAGAAAATCCACAGCATAAAGCATCCCTAGCAGAAGGCCGTCCAGCCTCCAGTGAAGGAGAATCTGCTACCTTCTGAGGTCAATAGTTGTTACTGTCAGGAAGAGTTGTCCCAAGGGAGAAGATACAAATATGTGCTGTGGTGTGTGACTGGGAGAATAAAACAGTGTGCTGGCCATGATCCATGGACAAGCATTTATCCCAAAGGTTGGTCAGTACGACTCTGCATCCAGACTGATTTCCAGAAGGCAAAGTGGATGATTCACATCAGAAGCACATTACTGTAACTGCAGCCCCGTCTAGCTATATAAGGGAGGGGGGGGAATGAATGAGCAGTGCAATAGATTATCGTAATTTTAAGAAATGCTTCCAGTAAGTTTAGCCAATTAAAAAAAAACACACCTCCCTTTTCATATTATTTCCAGATTATCATTTTAATTCTCCAGATAATAATAATAATTATTATTTTTTATGGA